CTCTGGGCTGATGGCTCAGAGCCTGGAGCCTGCTTCCGATTCTGTGTCTCCCTCTCTCTCTGTCCCTCCCCCATTCATGCTCTGTCTCTCTCTGTCTCAAAAATAAATAAACGTTAAAAAAAAAATTTTGTTTTTAAATTGTTTTTCGCTTTGTCCTTTCTCCTTTTTTCCCCTCCTCAGCTATCGCTTCTTCTTTTCTCTACTTCTCTTCTGCCCGCTCTCTGTTGTTTCTGTCTTTCCCAATTTTTTTCAAGGTTTAAAATCCACAGCCCACTCTCCGGATTCCACTCTGGATAAACTAAAACACACAGACACACACATACATACACACACACCCCTGACTTCTCAAACAGACTCCACCCAGACTACATTGAAGCTTCCTGATTCCAACAGTGAGGTCACAAATGAGTCTAGGAAAGTACCTGTGAGTGCATGTCAGGGAAACAAAGAAGGCAGTCAAGTGCAAAGGGATTGCTCTTTTCTTTTTTGTTTTTTTTTTTTTTTCAACGTTTATTTATTTTTGGGACAGAGAGAGACAGAGCATGAACGGGGGAGGGGCAGAGAGAGAGGGAGACACAGAATCGGAAACAGGCTCCAGGCTCTGAGCCATCAGCCCAGAGCCCGATTGCTCTTTTCTAGAGAAGACTTGACCAGCAGCTTTTTTCCAGAACTTAAAATTTGCCCTGCTTAACCCACTAAGCACTTTCTCTGCAAACAATAAAAGAAGATGGCCGCTTCTATGAACCTGGCCATTTTCTGAGTTTTAATAGTGTTTAATTCTGGTTAAGAATAAACAGACTTCTGTGAGCTGTCAGTTTGTAGTTTCCCTGCCTTTGGGCTGGGCAGGCAGTTTAGCAAATTCTGTGGAAAAGTTTATATGTGCTGAAGGGCAGAATTAGTGGCCTCGCCTTCCTCCACTTTCAAGAAACCCAGGATGGGGCAGGAGTTTGTCAGTACAGAAGCCTGAGAGTTAATTCTGTACTATTTTCTTTACAAATGCAGTGGAGAAAAGTTTAAGAAGAGCTCATTCTGTGAGGAAAAGGAGGGTAGAAATTGTAGATGTCATCTTGGTGCCGAGAAAAAAGGAATTCACTTTCTGAGTTCAGTTCATCCATTGCTAAATGGCTTTCTAAGAGACCTGCATATTTTAGCTGACTCCGTGTTCCTCCTTATGTGACAGGTGACCCACACTTGGATTCTAAATTAATTCCAGCAAAGATAAGTTATCTAAACTTGTTGTACTCCCATCATCTCTCCTGTAAAGTGGACACAGTCACCTTAACTAACTGGGTACTTAAAAGATAACTTAAATGAAAGTGATGCCCACACTTCAATGCAGTGGTTCTTAACTGAGGGCTTGGAGGATGTTCAATACGTGTCAACATTCATCTCTCCTTCCTGGATGAAAAAGGGAGAAAAGGAGATATGATCCTCAATATAGAGCCACGAAGAAAATTCCTGGCTGTGATGGTAGAAAAATCAAAATCACGAGTCTCAAACTCAAGTGAGTTTGAGATGCCAGGCAAGTAGTATAAGTAAGTAAAACACCCTAGAGGCAACGAAGAAGGAATGGAACAGACAGTGGACAAAGTATTGGAAATACTTCAAATACCTACTGTAGTAAACGTCAAATAGCTGCACACTCACAACAGAAAGGCACCTTGCCACTCTACCTTGAGTTCTTGAAGCAGGAAAAGAAGGTGGGGATTGTAGTTAACAGGAAAGAGTATGCTGCCTCCAGAGGGACAGTCACCACTCTCCACCTGACAGTTATGCAATACAAGACTAAAGGCTCAGTGCTGCCACATCGCATGACTCTTGGCAAGATGAATAAGAGGCTCTGTTTATTCCTAAAACATTTCGTTAATAAATGTCGGCCAACACTACGGTATGGCCAACATAGCATGCCATTGAAGTCTTGTGGACATGTAGGCAACAACTATACTTTTGTTTTCCTTTTTTGAGTTCTGCCTGCTCAGAATGAAGCACACTGAATTGCTATTTGCTTTTTATTCTCTAAGAGGTTAGAACTCGGGGCGCCTGGGTGGCTCAGTCAGTTGAGCGGTTGAGCATCCGACTTCAGCTCAGGTCATGATCTCACAGCTTGTGAGTTCGAGGCCTGTGTCGGGCTCTGTGCTGACAGCTCAGAGCCTGGAACCTGCTTCGGATTCTGCGTCTCCCTCTCTCTCTGCCCCTAACCCACTCGCATTGTGTCTCCATCTCTCTCAAAAATAAATAAACATTAAAAAGAAAAGAAACCCCTTTCTGAAGTATCGCCTTGGGAATCCAGAGTGGAATGCATGTTTTTGCTGCTTGGGCTAGAAATTATATACACTTGAGCAGACTCTTTAAATATCTGTTCATTTTCACCATATTCCTATGCAGTGGAACTTACCCCCTTTCACAGATGAGGAAATGAGCAATAATTTGCTCAAGGTCGCAGAATAGCAGCACTCATATTTGAAACCAAGTTATTTTGGGGCGCCTGGGTGGCGCAGTCGGTTAAGCATCCGACTTCAGCCAGGTCACGATCTCGCGGTCCGTGAGTTCGAGCCCCGCGTCAGGCTCTGGGCTGATGGCTCAGAGCCTGGAGCCTGTTTCTGATTCTGTGTCTCCCTCTCTCTCTCTGCCCCTCCCCCGTTCATGCTCTGTCTCTCTCTGTCCCAAAAATAAATAAACGTTAAAAAAAAAAAAATTAAAAAAAAAAAAAGAAACCAAGTTATTTTATCCAAGTTTAGCATCTGTCCTATACCATGAAATGGAAAAATAGCATTTCTCTGAGTCCAAAGCTCATGTTCCTTCCACATTCTCCCTGGGTATTTCAGAGCATTAACAAATATTTTGAGCCTGAACATACTACAAACTGGAAATGAAATTCCTTGATCGTAAAATTGGATTTTTCCCCTATTATTGCCTTCCTTATGTGAGAAATTTTATTTTATTTAAATGTTTATTTATTTATATTTAGAGAGAGAGAGTGAGCGCGAGTGAGGGAGGGGCAGAGAGAGAGGAAAGAGAGAGAACCCCAAGCAGGCTTTGCCCTGTCAGCACAGAGCCCTACACGGGGCTCCATCTCATGAACCGTGAGATCACGACCTGAACCAGAACTGAGTCAGATGCTTACCCGACTGCACCACCCGGGTGCCACTTACATGAGAAATTTTAAAACACCAATGACAATGTGAGTCATTCTTGCAGTTTGACCCAAGTGGAGAAATTTCTATCATATTGCATTTGAATATTTTCCAGGTAAGTGTCAGAAACCCCAATGAATCCAATTTAAACTATAAAGGGATTTATTGTCTATGGAAATGTAGATTCCAGACTTAGCTTGAGCTTCCGGCCACGCTTAATCCAGTGGATCAATGTATCACCCAGGTTTCTTTTATGTCTCCTCACATCTTTGTGGAATCTAGGCCTTAAACAAAGATTGGGTTCCTGTGTGTTTTATAAGAGCTGTCAGTCAGCATCTTGTTTATATCTAAATGAGGAAAGAGAAAGTTTTAGTAACTGTATCACAAGTGCTAGAAATGCCATTCACTTGCTTTCTTGTTCTTTCTTCATTAACCCTTGACCTAAAGATAGGATTGTTGGCTGGATTAAGATAATTAGGGTCTACCCCTGGATTTAGGGTTAGATTAATCCCACACAAACTGCATAGCTGCTATAAAATGGAGGAGGGATAAATTTGCCCAAAGGAAAATCAGTGTATTTTTGGTGGAAAGTAAAGGAAATGCATACTGGGAGGTGACTGTCAGCTATCTGCTACGATGGCTATACAGGAAATATTCATAATTTGTACTTCATCAAAAAGGAAAAGGAAAGACAGGCAACTCATTCCTGAGAGACATGACTGGATGTCTGGAAAAATCAGAAAGGAGCATTTGGCCGATTTTGTGTTATTATAGAATTCTGCAACTTCTTTCATTTTTGTTGCTATTCCTCTACAGAAGATTTGGGGAACATTGGTCATGGCCATTTTGGGGTTTTTCTCTGACGTTAAATTCTGAAAAATTAACAAGTCACCATGTGTGGGTTTAGCAAAATGCTGTTTTTATAAGGTCCACCAGCTAAGAATGGTTTTTACATTTTTAAAAGATTATAGGGGTACCTGTGTGGTTCAGTCAGTTAAGTGTCCAACACTTGATCTCAGCTCAAGTCTTGATCTGAGAGTCATGAGTTCAAGCCCCGTGTTGAGATCCACATTGGGCATGGAGCCTACTTAAAATAATAATAATAATAATAATAATAATAATAAAAACAAAGAGTATGCAACAAAGACCACATGCATGTGGTCCATAAGGCCCAAATTATCTGCTTCTTCACAGAAAAAAGTTTGCCAACCTGTGATCCAGTCCATAAAAGTGAAATTTCATTACCTCCTAAAATTAGAGCAAAATAACAAAGTTTAAGGAATCCATGACTCATAAAACCTAATATGTAGAAAACTTATAGGATGAAGGCTTTAGTATTTTTTTTCTACTGCAAGATAATCCCTTCAAAATCCTAAATGAAATAACCTTCATTTACTTAATATTAGCTTGCTTATTTCTCACTTGGTGGTTGCAAGGAATGGAGAAGGAAGAGAGGGGTCATGGAAATAGATTGTAGAAGATCAAAAGTAGACGCATTATTGAGTCTGCATACAACCAGTTGGCTGGTTCTTGGCTGACCATATGTTGACCTAAAAGTCAAATTAGCGGGGCGCCTGGGTGGCACAGTCGGTTAAGCGTCCGACTTCAGCCAGGTCACGATCTCGCGGTCCGGGAGTTCGAGCCCCGCGTCAGGCTCTGGGCTGATGGCTCAGAGCCTGGAGCCTGTTTCCGATTCTGTGTCTCCCTCTCTCTCTGCCCCTCCCCCGTTCATGCTCTGTCTCTCTCTGTCCCAAAAATAAATAAACGTTGGAAAAAAAAAAAAAGTCAAATTAGCTTCAAGTCTGCCAAAGTTCTAGGTTCTGAGACAGTCACGTTTAATGATGTCATAGAGAAGTTACCCTTCTATTCCAGCTAGGATCCTTTAATTAATAAGAGACTGCTGCGGTGAGCCTGCTGAACCAAAAGGAAAGTTTCGTAAGCAATTCCCAGTAAATCATGGTTCAGATTATTAAAGACATGGCAAGTATTTATTTTGGCTTCATTGATATTTCAAAAGAAACCACCTTGAGAACAGACTTGATAAACTTTAAGAATGATTTCCCCTAATCGTATTCTTTCACTGCTCCGTAGCAAGGGGAGATTTTTTTTATGCCTCTCCTTTCTGTGCTCGAGGGATGGCACTATCTGGAGTGTAGCCAAGGGATAAATTGATCAGAAGGGTTTTGTTCCTCTCTGATTCTCACTTCCTGCTCTGACTCTAGCTGGATCCAGACCAACTCCTAACACATTCCCATCCTGTACCTGATCCCGCTGATTCCACCTTTGTTGTACCTGGAACATTCTATGAAAGTAAAAGTCCACATATTTCTCTTATTCTAAGACAGAGCAGAAACCTCAGACATGCCTAGGGATTAGGATAGGAAAATGGCAGCCAATAGTATCAGCAATCCTTTAGGTAGTGTTTTATAAGATCACTTTCTATCCATTGTCCAATGTCACTGCCACAAGAACCTAAAAGCACATATAGGCCAGGAAGAGTTGTTTATTTACAAAGAAGAAAATTGCCTTTAAGAGTGGTGATGGTCCTACTCCGTTTAGGAGTGAAGTGGGCATTAGAACCCAGACATTCTGATGTCAGGCCCTGTTACATGAGGACCTGAACCTGGAGGGAAGAGGGAAGGCACAGGGCCTGGGCTTGCCATCCGTCAACACCCTCAGACTTAGACTTTTGACATTTTCCCCAAATGCAGCTATATGTAAGGTCACGAAAATGAGGCTGGCCAGATTGAAAGAAGGCATCGCTGTGTAGTTTGCTGTGAGAAAATGTTGTAAAATAGCACACATGGGCCGATGCCTTTGGTACTTCTTTTTTTGATTTTCTGGGAATCTCACAGGATAACCCAGGGTCTCACTAGCCCCCTGAGAAGCCCTCTCCCATCTCCTCCTTGGAGACCTCTCCTGAGGGCCTGTTGTCTCCTTCATGTCTGTATTTATTTTTTTTTTTAATTTTTTTTTCAACGTTTATTTATTTTTGGGACAGAGAGAGACAGAGCATGAGCGGGGGAGGGACAGAGAGAGAGGGAGACACAGAATCGGAAACAGGCTCCAGGCTCTGAGCCATCAGCCCAGAGCCCGACGCGGGGCTCGAACTCACGGACCGCGAGATCGTGACCTGGCTGAAGTCGGACGCTTAACCGACTGCGCCACCCAGGCGCCCCCATGTCTGTATTTAAATGTCACCTTCTATTCCAAGCAGACCATGGCCACCCAAACTACAACTCTAATCCAGCTCATTTCCTTCTTTCCTGCTTTATCTTTCTCCTCTTTTATCAGCAACGATCACTAACACACTACATATTTTACTTCTTGATTTTACCATCGGCTTCCCCCTCTAAACGTAAGCTCCACGAAGGCAGGGAAAAGTTTGTCTGGTTTTTTTGTCCACAGCTGTATACTAGCAGTGTGTCCATTACTTGGCACAGCATGGGTCTCGATAGGTACATGTCAAGTCGATATGTACCCTATGGGGGTATTCCTTTCAGAGAACTTAGCCAAGTCAAATTCATAGATCTGGCGAGGCCCAGTTTACATCCTAGCAACTACTCAGACGTGAGGGTGTTGAGGGCTTGTGAGGATGGCACCTACTGCATGATTTCAGAAGCAAGTGAGAAATTGCGGCTTGGCATGGCTCTCTGAGGAGTTAAGTACCCCCTCCCCTAGAGGAATATGGGTAAAGGAAGAAAGTGTATCTTCCTTAAGTCATCCGTTTCACCTGCTTGAAACTAAATCAAATGGCAACATAATTGTTAAGATTCTCTTACTGCAGAGCGGTGTGCCATCTGTATGCAATTAACCCCATCCCTAATTCCAGTGATGGGCACTGCTTGACTTGATCTAATTAGTGATCCCATCTTAATGATTGGTCGAGGGGATGAGCACATGATGGAATTAGGGCCAGTGAGAGGGCAAGGGAGCCCCACACCTAGAAAGAACTCAGGAGATGATTTTGTGTAGGTTTGTGTAGTGGTGAGGGAAATGGACTCTGGAGTTAGGCTGCCTAGGTTAGCAATCCCAACTACACCATTTGCCAACAGGTTGACTGAGAGAAAGTAATAAACTTTCGTTTTTTCATCTGTAAAATGGAGATAATACCCACTCAATAGGGTGGTTGTAAAGATTAAGGGAGAGAACACCAGGCACAGAGTAAATTAGTTACTATCATCGTAATTCCAATGAGAAAAGGAAAAATAAATCTTGAGCAGAACACTATATATTAGCAAATCATTCATCAACTAAACACCCCATGAGCACATACTGTAATGTGCCCAGTCAGAGGCCATGGAGGTTCAGGAGTGAATCAGGATTGAATTCTGTAGGGATTTGTTGGGGGAGAGAAGCCATGCATGAAATAACATGTGGACAGTCAGTGTTCATAAAGCAAGGAAGTTCAGATAAAATGATCTGAGGTTCCAGGAAAGGAAACATTTACTTAGGTGATCTGGACAGCTGATGGGAAATTCGCTTAATAAAATCCTTAAATATACGGTTTTTGACTACAGCTTTGGTAATGAATTCCCTTCAAAACAAAAGCAAAACAAGAAATGATTCAAGCTGTTAGATTACTTCCTCTCCTTTAAAATTTTACCACTAATGTATGTTTAGGCCCATATTTAAAAAAATCAAATCTAGATGTCCAGCTTGAACAACCATCCACCACTACCCTCCACGCTTTATCTCTCATTGGCCAATATCACTTTCTCCCCAGAGGTAACCAACCATTACCAACCACCATTTGGTAAATACACTCCTAATCACTTTTTGCAGATTTACTCCCACCTATGTATACTTGCAAAGATCAATATATGTGACCTCAGGGACATTTAGGAAAGGTGTGTCCCCTTGAGAACGGTAGGGTGGGGTACCTCACTAAGGTTTTTCAGGAACTGAAGTTCTTCATTTCAATAAATGAGGAACATTTATTCTCTGCAAGGCTTTTTGAGATTTAGTGATTATGCATATTTTTTCTTTTATGTTCTGGTCTCAGGATGAATTTAGCAGATTTTTGAAAGCTGCTGGGTGCAAACTTGTGGTGGTTGAATTTTCAGCAAAATGGTGTGGTCCTTGCAAAAGGATTTATCCTCTTGTTCATGTAAGTATCATCTATATATATTTCACAATTTTAGAAGGAATTTTAAATCCCCTAATAATTTTTTCAGTAAATCTTAAAAGTTTACATTTGTGAGCCATATGGAATCACTTTTCAAAGCATCCTGATTATCCTGAAGCTAATATACCAATCTCTATTTAGATCATAGTACACACACCAGAAGATTAATACTACTTGTCTATGGATAATTCTGCAAGGAAAATCTAGATGTACAAAAGAGTACAGTTGTACAAATGAATGGATTATTCATAATAATGGCATTTTACCAAAGTTCCAGAGTTCATAACTTCCAAATATTGGAATAGATTATAGAAAAACATGATACTAATTTTAACTATAATACGAAAGGATAAACTCCCCCCATCCTTCAACCCTATTATCAAAACTTATGTCTTGTATGTTCCTTTCATGTCTGATCTACTTTATAAAATGTTTTAGTAAAATATTCTTAGTTGTAATCATATATTTATATTCAGGTCTATTTTCCATGTACACATTCATTCATGTTTTTTGTAGGGTCTGTAAATTAACATTTTAATGTCTATACATGTTTCATCTAGTTAATTTCCTTGTTGCCCCATTTAAAAGTTTTAACTTTTATTTACTTTTGGTATCACATGCCACAGAAAGAACTTGGCATTTTCATTTCTTCTCATCATGCAGAAGTTTCACTTATGGTCAGTTTTGTGAAAACTATTTCTTCAAATTTAAAGAAGTTTTGATTTCTCTACACAACTAAAAACACTCTGGTTTATTTTCAGCAAAGTTTCTACCATTTCAACTTGAACTCTTAAATCCACCTGAATTCATTCTAATCACAGTCTTTTGACACTTAATTAAAAATAAACCTATATTCAGGGGCACCTGGTGGCTCAGTCAGTTAAGCATCGATTCTTGGTTTTGGCTCAACACATGATCTCATGGTTCATGAGTTCAAGCCCCACATTGGGCTCTGCACTGACGTGCAGAGTCTGCTTGACATTTTCTCTCTCTGCCCCTTCCCCACTCACTCTCTCTGTCTCTCTCTCTCAAAAATAAATAAATGAATAAATAAACTTTAAAAAATAAAATAAAATAAACCTATATTCAAATAGGGAAATTGATTACATGATACCTCAACATCCATTTTCTACCTAAAATTCTTGGAATATCCAGAGGAAGCATTTTATCATTTCACAGTCCCCTTTATCCTGATACTCAAAACTTAAAGATTAAGTCTTCAATGTTCAGCTTCCAGAGTATAAATATACTCACATGCCACAAAGTCAAAGCTGATCAAATTCTGACAGCCAACATGGGGCATTTTCGGAAAGTGCAATGAAATCTAAGGCTTTGTAACTTCCCTCTCATACCTTTGCCATAAGGGCATTAACAGCTGTGCCACTGCTCTGTCCAGGCTCCTGCAGCTCTTCCTACACTCATTCCTACCTTCATAGTTATAGCTATCCCTTTGGAGATAAACCTCCCCAAATGATGTGCCATCTGTTTCCTGTTGGAATCCAGACTAATGCAAATATAGTTTTAAAATAAATTTTGGCATGTCCATACTGAAATACTATCCAGATGTTAAAAAGAATCAAGTAGACCCATATGGAATGGTGGCATCATCTCCAAGACAACATAGCATTAAGTAAAAAGAGTGCAGTGTAGAAAAATTTACATAGTATGGTCTCATGTATGTAAAATAGACACATATATGTATGTGTATATATATAAACCCACATATATGTAGAGAAAAGGGGAACAGAAGGATGCATATCAAAGAAGGTTTTTTTTTCAGTGAAAGGGTGTTAAATTTGGATGGCTTTATTTTTCTTGTGATGTTTGAACTTTTGCATGATAATGTAGTCATTTACCATGTGTGTAATTTTTTCAAACTGGTGCGTATAGGCATGGAGAAAAGACTTCCCTTCTTCTAGGTCACTTTATTAGTCAAAGATCAAAGCAGGCAACAGAAACCAAATTAAACAGAAAAGAATTTTTTTTGATGTTTATTTATTTTTGAGAGAGAGAGCATGGGGGCGGCGGTGAGAGGGCAGAGAGAGAATCCCAAGCAGGCTCTGTGCTGTCAGCACAGAGCCCAACATGGGGCTCAAACCCGTGAACCATGAGATCATGACCGGAGCCAAGATCAAGAGTCAGACACTTAACCGACTGAGCCACCCAGGAGTCCCTAAACAGAAAAGAATGTTAATACAAGGAATAAGTTGCTTATAAAATTATTGAAAGATTAGATGAATAGGAATGACTCAGAACACCATAGACCCACTTTTGGGGATCCTAAGTTCATCACAATCAGAAGTGAGTATAGATGGGAGGCCACCGCTGGAGGAAAAAACAAACTGGCAACAGAGCAGCAGTTGGGAATCAGAACCAGGATCAGGAGGCTACTGTGGCCACAGGTGCCTCTGGACGTCCAGAAGGCTGATGTCCGGGCACCAGATCCTGAGTTTGGCTTCTGCTGCTGCTTCCAGCACAACCACTCCCAATACCCACAGTCTTGCTTTCCAAAGACAAGAAGACAAAGAAAACAAGAAGAAAGTAGCTGCTTTCTCACTTCTGACTTCCAAGTCTCTCCTACATTTATCTTGTTGATAAGACCAATTTGCATCCAGAACTCCAGCTTCAAGGGAGTCCAAGGAATCTCTACCTCTTTTCCTTTCCAGGTTCTGCAGGAAGGTGGAATGGAAGTTAGCCAGCTAAACTTCTGTAAAGGAAAGACAGTCAATCTTTTCAGGTTTGCAGGCCATATGGTCTCTGTAATAACCACTCAGCTTTGCTGTTGTAGTGCAGAAGCATCCAATGGCAATGCACAAATGAACAGGCAAACTGTATTCCAATAAAATTTACCTTACAAGGCCATGTGGAGACCTGGATTTCTTCTACATGGTGCAGTTTGCTGACCCTGGGCTAAGAGGATCACCAGACCTAGAACCCTGATAAGAGCATTTCTGGGAAAGGAGAGATTATAAATTTCTTTAGAAATTACATGATGTGATCATGAGAAGGCAAGTGGTCTGTGAGGCTAACTTACAGTGTATGTAGCAGAAGCGGAGACAAAGGAGCTTTGAAAAGAAGGTTGAGGCCAAATCAAGAAAGAGCTTGTGTTATAACTTAATGAGTTGTTGTAGATAGTCAAAAAAGAAGTTCTGAAAAGGGTTTTGCCATGGTCAAATAGCGATTTTAGAGAATATTTTTAGCAGTGCTGTATAAGAATGGTTTAGAAAGACCGAAGGCGGGTAACCCAAAGTGATGACAATCTCAATGACAGGCAGTGGTTTTGGAGAAAGAAGAAAAGATCCAATTTAGGAGATACTTTAGAGTTGGAACCAACAGAACAGGTGACCAAATGGTAGAAGACTACATACGAGGAAGAACAGAGCAGAAGGAAGAGTTGTTGAGGGCAGAGAAGAGGTCCTAGGTGGATGGAGTGAGATAATAAGGAAAGACAATGTCCATAGGGGAACCCCGACCTAGCAAAGACCCATATCTATGCCATGACTTCTGGGTGCTACTTGATGCAAAATGCCAGCTGCCATATTCCCTATTTCCTGATAGACTTGCAAGGCTCTGAAACCTTCATAAGTAGAATTAGATGTCCACATAGTTCAAACCTATTCCCATGACCCCTGTTGGGGAGCATCCATATATCTTCAAACTCGAAAAGTGCAAGACAATTGCCCTAGAGTTTGTGGGTGACACCATTTTCCTGCCAGGCCTTGAGCCACTGCTGACCAAAATCAGCATTTTTATCTAAAAAAATACTCTGAAATCCCCAAGGCTTTTGTGTCTGTTATCTAAGAGTTTTTCTCCATTTTCACAATCTTGATGGGCCACTGAAGAAAGAGCTCCCACTTCAGTCACAATCCATGAACAAACAACTGGAGAGAATCTGCCTGCAGTAGACCTCAGCACATATCCACCTAATCCATGTCATGCTGCTTCCTGCTTCTCAGTGGGAGCAGCTCCCAGTGACAACTGCATTTCTTCCTGTCTCCACTGTCTCTGGACACCCCATATGATCAGAGAGAGGTCCCATCAGAGAGAGGTCCCATTAGAAATAGGTCACTGGAAATGCTTGAGATACGATGTTAAAGCAAACAAACCAAGATGCTATTAAGTGCCCTTAAAGTATGAACACAGTTGTCTGAAAGAAAAAAAAAACCCAAGAGCTGATATTTACAGGCTGATGCTGCTGCATCTACTACCCCCAGACCTATTACCAACACCTTTGTCACCACTGCTGCCAGAGATGCTTTCAGAACAAAACAGAAGCAGAAGAGAGTTGTTTCTTCCCTCTTCACACCTTCTGTTTTCCTCCAGATGCATCCCATTGGCAAAACCTACATAGAAGACAGCTGGCAAAGGATCCTGGGAAGTACAGTTTCAGTACATAGTAGAGCATGGAAGATGTCAATAAAAGCACAAAGCAATTAGGCCAAGGGTCGACACACATATTTTTGTATCATCTCAGTCATAAGAGCCTCCCAAAAAGCCTGGCAAGAGGTGAAGGTCAAAGCAGAGTTTGGGTATCTGGTTCAGGGATCTGTAATTTTTTTTTTTTTGTAATTTTTAATTTCTTTTTTTGAGAGAGAGAAAGAGCATGAGTAGGGGAGGGGCAGAGAGAGAGAGAGAGAGAGAGAGAGAGAGAATTCCAAGCAGGCTCTGCACTGTCACCATAGAGCCTGATGTGGGGCTCCAATCCACCAACTGGGAGATCATGCCCTGAGCTGAAATCAAGAGACAGATGCTTAACTGACTGAGCCACCAAGGCGCCCCTCAGGGACCTGTATTTTGAAGACCACTGAAAGCAGCCTTCCACCTCTTGCCACCCCAGGAAAAAGCTACTATCCGTCCCTTCACCCTGCAGGGTAAATCTGGACACACCACATACATGTCATCATTTCTTCACTTTGTGCCCTTTCCTAACTTTGAAACTCTGATCTTCAGTTTGGTTCTTCAGACTCTGGTTCTGCCGCTGATCTTTGCTTGACCTGTATCATCCCATATTTGACTTTGGTGCTTCCAGTTCTAGCCTGTAGTGAAATGCCAGAGTGATGCTTAGCTCTCATGAACAACCTTTTTGGTCATTGTTTGTTTTTTGCCAAAAGACAACTGTGTAATTCTAGTATGTAATTTAGTATTAACGCTAAGCTAATAGGGAATTTTTATTCTTTTAACTTGAAGGCAATGTCTCTGCAATACCAAAATGTAATGTTTGCTAATGTGGATGTGGATGATTCTAAGGTAAGAATCTTAAGTCCTTCTGTGGGGATACATAAAATCCAAATGCTGCATCGTTGACAGCACCTCAGTGATTATATAATCAATTTTAAGTTGAGGACAATTTCATGATGTTTTCGTGATAAATGGTAGTAAACTTCCTCGTAATGTTCTTGTGCTTTGTATCGATTTTAAAAACAAAACCCAGCAAGTATGTGACTCTCCCGCTGCCCCCTCCCCTCCCTTACTATGGCAGACTCCACTCCTCAATCCCAACATTTTTCTCCATTTACCCTGCTCAGCAGAATTGGCTCTACACAGACAATACCAGTTGGGTGGTGTTGGGCTCAAGGTGAAAAGTGTTTTTCACCCTTGTAGTAGATTATTAATCAATGTCTGAAACCCAGCTCAATGCATTTATATCTTGCTTTCCTCTTGCTATGGTTATGGTTTTTGTGGGTTTTTTAAAACATCACAAGGAATTCCAAGAAATCCTTCCCTCCTGTCCCTCCCTAGAGCCTCCTTTCCTCTCCTTCCCCCAAAATAATCAACCTCATGCCCTTAGTCAAAATGTGCTTCATTAATGGGGTGTCTGGGTGGCTCAGTCGGTGAAGCATCCAGCTCTTAATGTTGGCTCAGGTCATGATCTCACAGACATGGGATTAAACCCCAGGTTGGGCTCCATGCCAAGCATGGGGCCTGCTTGGGATTCTCTCTCCCTCTCTGTCGGCCCCTCCCCCACTCATTCTCTCTCTCATTTAAAAAATATATTTTTTAAAATGTGCCTCATTAATATATACAAGGTACCCCAAAAATTATTCTTCCTAACATTTGCTCATTTACAACTAGGAAAAAACAGTAACAAGTGATCTTTGCACATATTGGATTGAATTTGAGCTTTAGAATAACAAAAAATCTGTTATTTACCCACTCTTTTCTTTAATAGTTTTGTGACCTCTTATCAGTTAACTCTACAAACTTCAGGTTTTTTTCACTGTAAAACAGGGCAAATAATACTTCACAGAATATAAAATGAGATAAAATACATAAAATATATGACATAGCATCCAGAACATACTAGAAGTTCCATTTCGCCCATTTCTTTCAAGCTTTATCAAAGTGCGACAGTGTTTAAGTGCCCTTTAAACCGAATCATATACTATGCATTCAGAACACATCTAGGATCATTATCTCTTTGTCCTTTTTTTATATTAACAGAGTTGTGCAACCATCACTACAATTAATTTTAGAACATTTTCACCACTTCAAAAAAAAAAAAAGCAAACACTTTTGGAGTTCTCCTGGTTACCCCCAGTTCCTTCTGTCCCAACTCTGGGCAACCGTAATTCTACGTTCTGTCTATAGAGTTGCTTATTCTGAGCATTTCATGCAAATTGAATCATCAAATAGGTGGTCATTTGTGACTAACTTCTTTCATTTAGCATAAGTTTCCAAGGCTCCTCCATGTATCAATACTTCATTCCTTCTCATTGCTGAATAATATTCCATTGTATGGATATACCACCTTTTATTTATTTAGCCATTCAACTGTTGATGGACATTTGGGTTGTTTTCACCTTTTGACTTTTAGGAGTAATACTGGTATAAGCATTTATGTATGTATTTTCATTTCTCTTGGTATGTATCTAGGGGTGAAATTGTTGAGTTTCCTAAAGCAGTTGCACCATACATTTCCACCAGCAATGTGTCATGAGGCCTCTGATTTCCCCACATCCTCACAAAAACATGTTATTGTCTGCCTTTTTGATGATAACTCTTTCCCTTTTAAGGAGAAACAAAATACACAATTTTTTAACAGTAATTTATTTATTATCATTGCTGTGATCATGAAAATTATAATTTAGCGTGTGTGTGTGTGTGTGTGTGTGTGTGTGTGTGTGTGTGTTACAGGCAGCAGGGGAGAGATTCACCCCATAAAATGATAGGTATATTAGAGAGAAAAGTCCAATTCTGTTGATCCTGTGGGTGGCTAATTTTCTTTGGACTCTAAACAAGATAAAAATGGGTATTTAAGAGCAGATTGTAATAGATTAAAATAATTGGAATTCTGATATATTTGCTTTTTTTTGGTTCATCTTTCACAAAGATGGGCAGTGAAGTGGGGAGTAGGGCTTACAAGAAAGAGACCTGTAAACCTTACTTAAAATGTAAGACCAGTATATCACCCCATGTCTCAAGTGTGCATTATAAGGATACCTTTACTCTTCCTCATTTTTGCAATATGCTGTCTCCATATTGGGTTCCACTGAGGTTCCTCTGTAATCTTTAACAATTTCTTTTATTTTTTTTTTATTTTTTTTAATGTTTACTTATTTTTGAGAGAGAGAATGAGAGACAGAGCACGAGGGGGGAAGGGGCAGAAGGAGAGGGGAAACACATAAACCAAAGCAGGCTCCAGGCTCTGAGCTGTCAGCACAGAGCCGGACATGGGACTTGAACCCACAAACCCTGAGATCATGACTTGAGCCAAAGTCGGACACTTAACCGACTGAGCCACCCAGGCACCCCTCACAATTTCTTTTAAATAGAGCTCGTTTCATCCTTCAGCATCTGTTCTATTTTGGCATCCATCTCCCAGCCCTCTCCTAGGGCTCTGGGATGAGAAGCCTCAGGAATGTGAGGAGCAGCCATTTTCTATTGTAACATTCCTGGAGGCTTTGAAGACATGTTAGAAAAAGGCTTGGCAGGAGAATCAATAAAGTGTTAACTGTCCCTGGGTTTTCAGACATGCCTCCTGAGAAGTCACCAAGTTCTGGGCTCTGTATAGAGAGAGGATACCAAAATTGTGACCTCATGCCATTTCTTTCCTTTCCCAGGAGTTGGCCCAAACTTATCACATCAGATCAGTACCCACATTTCAGATGTTCAAGCAAACCCAGAAGGTATGTTTCCATGGTAACTGGCAGAGTTGAATTATAGAATCATCAGAATCTTTTTAAAAGGCCTGGGGTTGGGGCGCCTGGGTGGCGCAGTCGGTTAAGCGTCCGACTTCAGCCAGGTCACGATCTCGCGGTCCGTGAGTTCGAGCCCCGCGTCGGGCTCTTGGCTGGTGGCTCGGAGCCTGGAGCCTGTTTCCGATTCTGTGTCTCCCTCTCTCTCTGCCCCTCCCCCGTTCATGCTCTGTCTCTCTCTGTCCCACCTACCCAAAAAAAAAAAAAAAAAAAAAAAAAAAAAAAAACCCGTTGAAAAAAAAAAAGGCCTGGGGTATCCTGGGTGGATGAAACAACTGCATTTATTTTTAATATTTAGCAACGTGATGCTTCGTTTCTGAACTTTTCATATTGGCAAGGCGTACAAAAAAATGCATGAATGATAAAAAAAAATCTCCCCATTCAGACCATCTGAGGTTTCCAAATCCGTAAGAAATATCCACTACTATCCCTGTAATATCCCTTTTGATGGGGCAGACCCATCAAAAAAGAATCTTACAGAAAAGGACACGATGAAATTCTCACACAAATGTATACGGATTGTTAGCAACACTTGGGAAAATGTTAATCAAAAACAATCCCGAGTCCGTGTAGCTCGTGGTTGAGCGTGCAGGCTCTTGTTGCAGGTTTCTGTGGTTCAGATATCCATTCTATCACTACCTAGCGTTTTCCTTAAGAACCTCTTTGGATCTTAGGTTCCTTATCTGTAAAAACAAAGATCCTAAGTTTTTCCTCTCACGGGGTGTTGTGAAAAGAAATGAATTGACGTGACTCAAGTTCGTAGACCCATCCTGATGTGCGTCAGTGCTCGGCACGTTAGGGTAGTTGTTATCACAAAGATGTTAATGAAGCAAAATGTCTAAAATGCTTCGTGTGTGATTAAACTAGTAATCCCACGTATGGCTGGGAACACTGACAAGTGTACGTACCTTATGAAAAGTGACTTTGCAGCACGCTTAAGAGGAACAAACTGTATATTCCCGTTCACACAATCATCCCATTTGGGGGAACTTTTGCTACAGAAATACCAGCAGGAGAAATAAGCAGCTAAGTACATAGTAATGGTAGCATTACTTCTAATAAAATACGAAAGTAAACTACATGTCTTTTCTTGTGGAACTGCTCAGTGATTTGATTTGTGATACATCTACTTGAAATAGTATGCAATTTAAAGCGTTAGGAAGAACATATGTAAAGCAAAAACATTCATGCTTAAACCTTGTGAAGATTGTGGCTACTATATGAAGAATGAAAGTAGTTGATACGCTAAGTGTAGGATTTGATTCTCAGCTTCTATTTGTTGCGTATTTACCATAATAGAATTGGCGCAATAGATTTAAATAATTTTTCAAAAAGAATTAACACTACCTACCACTCCTCTTGAGTGTTTACTTCAAAGTGAAGCTACTGAGCACATGCACCTCAGCTCCCCTCCCCACCACCGCACATCAAATTGTTTTTGTGTCATTGTTTGTTATCCTCTCCTCTTCCATCTCGGAAATGAGAAAGCATCCTCCTTTTGAAATGGATTTCATCCACTGTACCTTGATCGCATTCCCTCCCTTGTGCCCCAGGCCTCTATCCGTCAGTTTTCTCTTTTCAAACCTCGTGTTGGGACAGTCCCTTTTGCCACCGTCAGCCATTCTTCAGTCTATCAGCAGTTCTTTGATTTTCTTCCAGGGAACCATTCCCTTGCCCATCCTTGGTCCATGTGCTTCCTTAGGGCTCCATCTCCATGGCTAGACCTGTGAGTGAACTTCGTCCCCATCAGGAATGGGCCCTTGACTCCAGTCAAGCCAATCTAAACCCAACCAGAGCTAATCCTAGGATGCGGCTTAAGCAGCTAGGTAAAAGCCTTCTCTTTCGATTTCATTGGATTTGTTTGAACTTGGGAAGATATGAAGCTGAAGGTACTACAGCTAGCTGTATGAAGCTGAAGGTTCTACAGAGAGAACCTGAAAATGAAGCCACCATACAATGAAAAGCAGAGTCAAACCAGGAAATACCAATGGCACTGATTGAACCCTGAATCTATCCATGCCTGAAGCCTGAACTACTCCCATAGATTCCATGAGTTACATAGACCTGGGGTTGTTTTTTCTGTTACTTGCAACCAAAAACTTCTAATGACAAAATTAATGTTCTTTCAGACTTCTCTCCTTCGTTTCATGATCTAATTCTTGAAGAAGTAGAATATACTTCCTGCTTTCAATTCGAAGTTTCCACTTATTCCTTCATCTGCTCTTTTAAATGTCTCCAAGGCTCTTTCAGCACCTAATTCAAATAGCCATTTCTCAATCCTTGTATTCCTTGGTTATACAAAAGCACCATAACTAATCAGCTTCTAATTCTGGAAATTTCCTTGTCTTTTGGCTTCCATCCCTGATCTTTCCCCAAGCTCTCCTTTGGCTCCTTTGGCTCCTGCTGTCCCAAAATATAAGTGTTTCCTAAGGTTCTTTTTCCCATTCTACCTCTTCTCCTTTAGTAATTTCATCCTTATCTATAGTTCCAGCTGTAATGACCTTTTTTTTTTTTTTTTAATTTTTTTTTTTTTCAACGTTTATTTATTTTTGGGACAGGGAGAGACAGAGCATGAACGGGGGAGGGGCAGAGAGAGAGGGAGACACAGAATCAGAAACAGGCTCCAGGCTCTGAGCCATCAGCCCAGAGCCTGACGCGGGGCTCGAACTCACGGACCGCGAGATCGTGACCTGGCTGAAGTCGGACGCTTAACCGACTGCGCCACCCAGGCGCCCCTGTAATGACCTTTGACATGAACAAGTACAATAGCCCCTCTCACCTCCAAGTTCACACCATAGCTCTGTTCTCTTTTCCAAATAGAGCTTGGCATAGTTCCATGTATGTCATTCCCTTATTTAAATTTGGATACCCCTTCCCTTCTGTTGTCTGCAGAATCAAGACTAAACCCTCCTAATCAAGGCTTCCATTTAAATTTCTCCATAATTTTGGCCCAGTCTACCTTTCCAAGCCCATTTATGTTTGACCCAGATCTTAATGTCATGTATTTGTATCCTACTATCTCCAGTACCTAGAGGAGTTCATGTCAGTGTCTAGAAGAATCCACCCTAGGTGGAAAATATTCATTTTGTGTTTGATTCATGAGTGAGTAAGCAAGTGAATGAATAAATGAAGGCTGATGTCTTTGCCCTACATCCCTGTCTGCTCTGCCTCCCCTTCTGACTCTGTCCTCATGTCAGTCTGACTCAGGGAGGGTTTCTCTCCAGCTCGGAACAGCTGTCTGGTTTCATCTCTCCTGCTGATGATAGCGCTTAAGATCTGCTGCCATTCAACAGTTTGTTCTATGTTTTATGAAATAAAACTTTGGGGTCTCAATTGACTTTGTGTCTAGGCTCTTGAGCAAATCCATAGCTATGCTTTTGAGAAAAGGCTTGGCCTTGCTTAGTCTCAGTTCTGTATGTAGGTGGAAGAACTCACAGTTGGGGGTAGGGTGACCTCTTATATTCAATTATTTCTTAACTGGTTTCTACAGGGTACGGATCCCTTTTGAATTGATGGAACAAAATGCCTGTATTTTAGGCATCGTGAAGGATCTCGATTTTAAATTTTATGCCACTTAGTTAATGGAGAATAAAATTAACTGAATCAATGACACAATGCATTAAGCTGATCCACCTCCCTATTTTCTAACTCCAAAGACAGGTAGCCAGCCTCTGATTATAAAATGAATACCCCTGTCCCAAAATATTTTCTTGAGAATCGAGTGTCTCATTGAATATTACTGACTTAGCATCCTGGTTATGAAGTTATTTAAAAAAACAAAAACAAAACCTTGAGATCATTTATGTCATAATATACAAGTAAGTCTACTTCTGAGCTTTGCATGTATCTCCAGAAAGATTCATACTTGAATCAATTTAAAAATCATTTGTAAACCTGCAGAAAATATTTACAATGCTGGCTTCCATTTAACAAAGAATATCAATCTTCTGTGCAAAAGACAACAGCAAAAAAATGGGGGCAGGAGATCCTAAAGAGACAGTATTGCAAATCTTTTTACCTCTTTCACTCAGTCCCTAGCATTTGGCATCTGAGCATCCATCCAGGGCTTCTGCAGGGTCCCCACTTCTACTATTGTATCCAGAGCTGCAGTCAAAACCTGAGACCTCTGAAATCACCCCCAGGTTCTACCTTGCAATGGTCTGCACAGGAAAAATCAATGGAACCAGAGAAAATTGGGCATGGCCATGCGATAGGACCCATCTATGTGAATTTCCCTCCTCAGTAGAATTGACTAGGAATGACATTCATTGTTCTCCTGGGGTAGAAAAAAAAACTAAATTCACTTCTTTGAGACCACTTCCTTCCATCTCTCTTTCATCTGGGACAGCACACCTGAAAATTAACTTATGGAAGCAGTTAAGTACTATTTATCTAGTATTAAAAAAACAACAACAACTTTGAGTCCAGTTTCTGTTAAGGGATGTTATAAGAAATGTACTCACATTTCTGGTAAAACACCTGGCAAAGAACCACTGTCCATTATGCCTTTTAAAATGTACATTGTGTAAAAAGCCTTGTGATTATTCCTCATAGACAGAGTTTGGAGAATATTTGCCTCCCTTGGTCTACTCCCTTGCATTAGATCAGAAGGCTTAAGGAATCCCTTGGGTTTCTCTTTTTCTATTGCTGCCAATAATCTCAGGATTACTTCCTTGACCCAAATACAATAGCCTCCCTTATCTGTAGTTGCCTGGAATTCCCTAATTGCCATCTCCATACTGAATCATGCTTTAATGGTTTTGTTATTTTATCTTGCCCTTGATTCTATCTCATTTCAAATATTTTCAAAATACATAGACTATAAACAAATAGAACTTTAAAAAACGAATACAGATAAAGCTATGTAACTATGACCCAGGGTTGCAGTCAATGGGCATTCTGTGATGCTGGAAGTTTTTATGCAGATTTGGATGGTCATCTAGCAGGGTTGTACCATAAATAGCAGCTGTAATTATTTTACAGTGTTAGGGTAAAGGACAGCAAAAGCAAATTCCAGGTAATAAATAAAGTGGGATTGTTCCTTCCTGCTGTAATCCTTAGTGTTTTTGCCTGGGACATCACATCCTGTTCCAGTAAGATTAACTGTGGTTAAGAAAAAAAAGAATCTGGGGACGCCTGGGTGGCGCAGTCGGTTAAGCGTCCGACTTCAGCCAGGTCACGATCTCGCGGTCCGGGAGTTCGAGCCCCGCGTCAGGCTCTGGGCTGATGGCTCAGAGCCTGGAGCCTGTTTCTGATTCTGTGTCTCCCTCTCTCTCTGCCCCTCCCCCGTTCATGCTCTGTCTCTCTCTGTCCCAAAAATAAATAAACGTTGAAAAAAAAATTAAAAAAAAAAAAAGAAAAAAGAATCTGTGGTGGCTCTCAGATGGGACATCCAAAACTTTGGCTGATTTTTTTAACCAGAATATTACACTGTATTCTGTTCTAAGTAAAAAAAAAAAAAAAAAATACACATATACACATAAGCTACAATGTGAATATGATATTAGTTATTCATTGAGCCTCTGAAGCCCATCAGTAGATCCCCCAGGTTTATAACATTGCTTCCAGACCAAAGTTGACATATGTCAATGGAACAAAAGAAAAGAAGAGTAACAAAGATTTAGCAACTCTTGGCCAACAGCTTAAATTTATCCAACATCGAAATTGGTTCCATCTTTCATTCTTTGATATGAGAGTAAATGGCTTCTCGAAACACTTTAATCCAAGAACAATGGGATATGGATGCATGGATGCTAATAAGTGAGTTATTTACAAATGAATAATTCAGCTCATAGGCTCACATCTAGTGGGAGGAACTCCTGCTCCTTTGCTTGTGAACAGCAGGGCTCCTGCTGAGGTTATAGAAGTCATTTCCAACAGACACCCTCCTTGAGGTAGGTACAGACATGAAAAGAATCTCCAATGGGCAGCACCGTGGTATGCTTGAAGGAGGACAGGATTGGAATCTTCAAGGGCCAGGCAAGGACAATACATGAGAAAATAGGAAGTGAGGAGGATGGTGGTCCTTGGAGAATCACCCTCCCAAATGCTCACTGTTCAAATTCATAAAAAACAATACTTGAGCCACGCCCAAAAGAGTGTCTGTGACTAGTTTTTGTCATCTCTGGAATCAGACAGCTGTGGGTTGAATCCCAGGTCTGCTTCTTATTCGTGGATGACCTTGGTTATGTGCCTTCACCACCCTGAGCTCAGTCTCCTTCTCTGTGAAATAGGGACTATATCATGTGTCTTTGAACTGTCGTCATGAAAATTTGTGATGATATATAAAGCACTTTAGCACTGGACTTGGTACATGCTATAAAATACGGCTATTGCTAGAGCTCCATAATCTGTGCACCAGTCTTCCTGAAAATTTACGACGAAATAGAAATTTGGAAACACTGGTTAGGAGAGACCTCTAAAACTCTTTGAATAACTACAGTGACCAGTTAAGCTAAGTCATCTTAACATTGGAGAGTTACCTACCCAGGGATATTCAACCTGTTAAGGACTGTGTTAGGTAGACACAGAGGGGTTCCACCTTAGGGGAAATTAAAAAAAAAAAACAAAAACAAAACAAAACAAAACTCTCACATGGTGTTCAGGGCTCTGAAGGGTACAGATCCAAAAAAGAAGTTACTCAGCCCCATAAAGCAGCTGATACATAGGCACAGATTAATAGACTGGAAGGGGCAAGAACTAAATGAGATGGAGGGGGAGAGAGAGAGAGATGGGCAGCAAGCATTTATCACCATTTAACACTAATGCTAAGGATAGTGCTCTAGGTGTTAGCAACTGAAAGACAGTAATTACTTATATACCTCTTTTCTCCAGGGCAGGGATTAGGGCGAGGCGAGTGAGGCAGGAAATTTATTAATAATTAATAAATCCTTGAAATATAGGAATATTTCATTCGGTGATTGGCCACAAGGACTCGCAAGACCCAGTAATAGGTTCTACTTACAGCTGAGATTTATTA